TGTGTTCTTACCACCCCTGCCAAGTAGCAAAGGTTTCATTCAACTCAGTCACGGATCCTTGGAGAGCTCCAAGTATGGAGCCCAACAAAACACAGTGGTAACAATGACACAGAAACCTGCGGGCATGGGGTATTATGCCAATGCACCGGTGTGAAGGAAATCATAACTTATAAAAACTTCAAAAAGAAACTACAACAAAAGCTTTGAAAAGGCCCAGATCATGGGAAGTTTTGGTACCAGTTGGGGTAGAAGTGTATTAAAATGTTATTGATTCTCTTTAATATGATTCTAGCGATCTAAAGTAAGAAATGTATTTTGAAGAGCACATAGTCAAGAAGCCGATAATTCAATTATCTTTCATCTTAAAAAATAGAGCAATGGAACTTATAATAGGTGAATGTAAATAAAACTGAAATTGGACCCTAGAAGAATTCTTGGAATTTAAAATATACTTGTTTTTATCAAAAAAAAAGTGCTACTAATTTCTTAAAGGCATGAGGGTTTAGTATGGTTGGGGTAAGGATAAAAATCATGAATTTTGAACTTCCTTTTGTTACTTAAGGACAGAAAATGACTGAATTAAATATATGTCTATAAGAAATGACTAGTTATAAATTAATTATGGTAAAGTTTAGGCTTCTCTTTCTAATTGTATTTTTTTTTTGTCTTGAATGGAAGCTTAGTTAATTATGTGTAGTTATCACAAGGCTTGCAGTGAAAGTGAATGTGGGCAACAGGGTAACAAATGTAAATTAATTTCTTAACCTGGACTAGTTTCCACAGGCACCAAATGGTTGTCCATCTCCAAAGGCCAAAGCCTGGTGTTCAGAGATCTACTTTTGGAATCTGACTCTCTGAGTTTCTATCCCATTTTAACCTTAGTAGATGTGTGATTTTAGGCATGTTCCTTAATTTTTCTAAACTTCAATATCTTCATCTATAAACTGTAATAAAATAAGAGTATCCACTTCCTACAGTTAGAATAAAGATTAAATAAGATAATGATATAAAGTGTTTAACCAAGTGCCTGGTGTATTGAAGCATTCAAAAATGTTAATGAGAATTATTACCATAATCTAACCTACATTTTTCATTGACTAGTCTCTAGAAGTACTAGCTTAAATGATAAATTCAGGTGCCAGGTCAAGTACTTTGTCATCCTTGGCTATGATGGCAAAATGATTTACAGACTAGACATAGACACTACTATTCAACATTACTGATATTGCTTTGAGGTAGAATCAGAATTTTAACTTATCCCTCTCCTTTTGGTTTATACTTACCGGTTTTTGACTGAATGAAACATAGAAGCAAAGCTACAATAAAATAAAGAACTGATAGTTTGCTTATAATTTTTTATTTGTGTTTTAGCACTGAAAATAAATGTTTTATTTAATTAGTACACTTGTGTGTACTTATGTGTGTTTGTGCATAATGTACATATTCGGCCTTTGAAGACAACATCACTGCTATTACCAAGGACATCTAAAAGGGATCCACAGCCATTTTCATAATTGAGTCTCAGTTCAGCCCAGTAGTATTGCCAGACTGATATGGTTGGCTTTATTAAATTAAGAAACAGCTTTACACATAAGAAACTATTCACCAGTCTTCACTATATTATTAAAAAATAATTGTTTTCTTAATCATAGACTATTTCTGTTACTTGACTGGGTCAGTTTCATGCAGTTTTGGTAGGTGATTTTTATATGGCTGTTATTTTTTGATCTCTATTTCTTATCTCTTGTAGGAGAAATGGCTCAGAGCTGCAACTACAGCCCAGAAATAGAACTACTTTTGGCTCTGAAACAAAAAGCCAGAGGCACTGGACTTTTCCAGCAAAATGTAATCTGTATGGCATGTATTTAGCCTTTGGTTATTTCATTTATTAAGCTAGGAAGTTCTTAAAAACAACAGCTTGCTTTGAGAAAACCATGTTATTGCTTTTTGCCTGTGCAAGATACTGTTTGTTGAAGTTTAAAATATATATATAATCCCAGGGCTAGCATTGGTCACTAAAATTAATTTGCAGAAAAACAATGAAGTGACTTCTGATCGTTATCATTTTTGAGTTCCTTTTTTAATAGCAGTGAGAGAAGATGAGAGACATATTTTGTTTCCAACCAGATCTTATAGTGAGAAATTTAGTAGGCAACAACTTTGGAATACATTCTTATATAGCAATAAGACCAAGAAATTTTTTCTCTAGAGTTTTATGAGACTTCTGCTATGTAAGTCCTGATGTTTCTGAACTGATAGAGAATTATGAACTTCAACATAGGTGGAAGATATTGGAAAAGCAGAATCACAAACGATGTCATAGCAATTCTTTCTGTGTGGATTGTTAAGTTTCTCTAAATATATTTAGCTATAATATTAAAGTATTTTTTATAGGTATGTATGCTTTGAGCAAAAGCTAGCTATCCTGATGAAGATATTGGTCCAAAAGAAAGATATTTCCAACACCTCAAAGGCAATATATTTAGAAGTAAAGTCCTACTTCATAAAATACTTCTTCCAACAGGACAATTTTTATAAAGTATTAAAATGTCATTTTCTAAAAGTTAAAAGACAATTCTTATATTAAAAAAATGAACACAGGTCAACAATTATATTCAACTCATTAATGAGGGAACCAGCAAGATACCAAGATTGGTTCAAAAAGCTTTGAGAAGATGAATATCTAAAAATAATTTAATAAAGGACAGTTTGGATAAGATTGTAAGTTTAGGTACAATTCTGGTTAATGTCATAAAGGGCAAACATCCTTAAACTCTTGGATTATCTTTTCTTTTTTATAGAAATTGTTTATATATCTACCAGGCAAAAATCTAGAAGTTAACTTTAGTAAGTCTGAGACTTTAATCAGTATAAACAGAAAGTTGAAAAAAGTATATTCTCATAAGCATTTAAGTAATTCTTGCCTGTGTCATTGAAGAAAAGTCACTACTTTATTTTTTCTGCCTTATATTCAACTTATATATATTTTTTCTTAACAAAATAAAACCACAATTTCACAAGGCTAGGAATATTGACTTTCTCTCCAGTCACTGAGGTTATTTGCTGAATCTTGTTGATACATTTTCCAGGAATTTTCAGCATAATATTTCTAAAGCATGCTCTGTGAGATAAGTGAGATACATGGTCAAGCACATTTAGAAATATAGAAATGGTTTTTTTTTCTCATAACCAATGAAGTTACCATTGGATATTGTATGCAATTAGAATTGAGGTGGAAGAATGGAAAGTTCTCTGTTCAATCTACTATCTTTGAAAGAGCTGTGACACAGATCAAGGACAAAATGGGCCACCATGTTGGGAAAGAGTTTCATTAGAGATAGCTAAGAGGTTGACATTCCTTTTCTTTGTAAAAGGCCCTTCACTCCTTTTCTTCCTTTCTCTCTCCCTCTTTCTTTGTCTCCTCTCTCCCTCTTTCTTTGTCTCCTCTCTCCCTCCCTCCTTTCCTCCCTCCCGCCCTTTCCTCCTTCCTTCCTCCTTCCTCCCTCCCTCCCTCCCTCCATCCCTCCCTTCCTTCCTCCTTCCTTCCTTCCCACTTCTCTCTTTCTCTTCCCTTTCTTCCTTCCTTTACTCTCTCTTTCTTTGTTCTCTTATTTATCTATTTATTTAACATCTTTCTTTCTTTGACAATGGAGCAGTTAAGTAGATTGAATTATCATGCTTGGAAATAAGAGATACTTTCCAACTCCAAACTCTCATAGAAGATGGGGCTGAATCTAGGAGGAAATCTGAGAAAACAAAAATGTGTAAAATGAGCTATGTATCTGTTAATACTAATTTATGAATCAAAATATGAGTCTAGATTATCTAAATTTATCCAAACTTGCTTTTCATATGACATTAAGAGAAGAAACTCCAGGAGACCAAAAACCAAACTATTAGAACAAGTTCAGCATTACCCTTAATGTATGGGAATAATTTCTTGCTGCATCTTATACTTCGACAAGTTATTAGCTAATGTTGGAGAAGTGCTGTTATTAAATACATATAATAACAGTGAGCACCTGTTATGTATGAACTTTTACCCATTCCAGTGCTAAGATCTTAAAGCCAAACAGTCTGTTTGCAAATTCAGTTAATTGACCAAATGGTTTTAACAACTTTCTGTATCTCAGCTTAGATTCCCAAACATAAGTCATATGTAGCTATCTGATTTTTTTAAGAAATAAGGTTTTATAAGAAATTGAATTAATTTCTCACAAATTTCATGTAAGTGTTGATGATTTGGCAATTGTCTGAGTTGGCTACTCTTAGTTCTCTTGAAAATGTCTGTCTCAAGAGTTTTATCATGCTTGGGAAAATAAATTTCTAAAAGCTGAAAGAGCATGAAGAGAGTATAACTGTAAAATATTAAGAGGATAGGATTTACTTCTAAATTTTAAAATGTATTGCAGACAGGAGAGGTATTAGCAAACTTATTTTTGTTAATATTTTGTGTGATGTACATTGAATTCCCAGGGTAATACATTTTTGCATTCCTGTCCCATTGGATGATCCAGTTGTGTCAAAATTGCAAAATATGTATTGAGAATTTCATGGTACAGACTTTGTATTAGTTTGCTAGAACTTCCATCATAAAGTATCACAGACTAAGTGACACAAACAACAGAAATTTATTTTCTTTCAGCTCTGGGCATTATAAATCTGAGATCAGCAAGATGGCCAAATAGGACAGCTCTGGAGTGTAGTTCGCAGCAAGAAGAATACAGAGTGTGACTGATCACCATATTTCCAAACGAGTTTTACTGCCCACAGACCAGGAGATTCCCAGGCTGAAAAGCACCAGTAGATTCCAGCATGGCTGTTTTAGCTGGCACTGCGGATCTCTGCACAAAAACTTGCACAAATCTGGGCAGCAATTTCAAAAGGCACCCAGAACACCTGGGATACAGAGCCACTAAACAACTGAAAAGAACAGGGGGCTGAAACAGGGAGCCAGGTGATCTGACTCAGCGGGTCCCAACCCCAACAAAGACCAGCAATCTGAAACGCTCTGGAATGGGAGTTTCGTAGCAAGCGCAGATAGACCCAGGACAGTCCAGCTTGGTGGAGGGAAGGGCGTCAGCCATTACCTAGGCAGTTCACCACTACTGAGGCAGTCCACCATTACCGAGGCAGTCCACCATTACTGAGGCAATCCGCCTTTACTGAGGCAGTCCACCATTACTGAGGCAGTCCACGGTTACTGAGGCAGCTCTAACAGGAAGTTCACACAGCAGCTTGGCAGAGCCCACAGCAGCTCAGTAATGCCTCTGCTGGAAGACTGTGGCTAGACTACCACCTTGCTGGCAGGGCATCTCTGCAAAAAGGCAGCAGCACATCAGGAACTTATAAATAAAGCCCCAACTTCCCAGGACAGAGCACCAGGGGAAAAAGGCGCTTATGAGTTCCACTGCAGCAGGCTTAAATATACCTGCCCAGAAGCTGTAAATGGAAAAATGCAGCTCCTAGCTCATCACTTGAGCTCCTATAAGGTACAGACTGTCTCGTCAAGCAGCTCCCTGACCCCTGTATATCCAAAGAGGCACTTGTAAAGAAGAGCTCAGGCTGAGATCTGGTGGGTACCCTTCTGGGACGAAGATAACAGAAGAAGAAACTGGCAGCATCCCTTACTGTTTTTAAGCCCCTGCGGGTGATCCCCAGGAAAGCAGGGATTGGAGTGGACCTCCAGCAGGCCTACATCAGAGGAGCCTGATGGTTAGAAGGAAAACTAAAAAACAGAGAGAAATAACTTCAGCATCAACAAAAAAGAAGTCCACTCAGAGACCCCATCTGAAAGTTGCCAACTACAAACATCACAGATAGATGGGAAGAAACCAGTGCAAAAAGGATGAAAACACCAAAAACCAAAATACCTCTCCTCCTCCAAGGGATCACAACTCCACACAAGGACGGGAACAAAGCTAGATAGAGAATGAATCTGATGAATTGACAGAAAAAGGCTTTAGAAGGTGGGTAGTAACAAACTTTTCTGAGCTGAAAAAACATATTCTAATGCAATGCAAGAAACTAAGAATCTTGAAAGGTTAGACAAAATGCTAGAATAAACAGCTTAGAGAAGAATATAAATGACCTTATGGAGCTGAAAAACACAAGAGAACTTTGTGAAGCATACACAAGTTTCAATAGCCAAAAGGATATCAGAGATTTAAGATCAACTAAATGAAATAAAATGAGAAGGCAAGATTAGAGAAAAACATGAAAAAAGGTGAACAAAGCATCCAAGAAATATGAGATTATGTGAAAAGACCTAATCTATATTTGATAGGTGTACCTGAATGTGATGGAGAGAATGAATCCAAGCTGGAAAACACCCTTCAGAATATTATCCAGGAGAACTTCCCCAACTTAGCGAGGCAGGACAAATTTCAAGTCCAGGAAATACAGAGAACACCACAAAGATATTACTGAAGAAGTGCAACCCCAAGGCACATAATCATCAGATTCACCAGGGTTGAAATGAAGGAAAAAATGCTAAGGTCAGCCATAGAGAAAGGTCAGGTTACCCATAAAGGGAAGTCCATCAGAATCACAGTGGATCTCTTAGCAGAAACCCTACAAGCCAGAAGAGAGTTGGTGCCAATATTCAACATCCTTAAAGAAAGAAACTTTAAACCTAGAATTTCATGTCCAGTCAAACTAAGCCACATAAGCAAAGGAGAAATAAAATCCTTTATGAACAAGCAATTGCTGAGAGATTTTGTCACCACCAGACCTGCCTCACGAGAGCTCCTGAAAAAAAAACACTAAATACAGCAAGGAACAACCAGTACCAGCCACTCCAAAAACATACCAAATGATAAAGACCACTGACACAATGAAGAAACTGCATCATCTAGCAGGCAAAACAACCAGCTAGCCTCAAAATGGCAGGATCAAATTCACACATAACAATATTAACCTTAAATGTAAATGGGCTAAATGTCCCAGTCAAAAGACACAGAGTGGGAAATTGGATAAAAAGTCAAAACCCATTGGTGTGCTCTATTCAGGAAATCCATCTCAAGTGCAAGGGCGCACACAGCTCAAAATAAAGGGATGGAGGAAGATTTACCAAACAAATGGAGAGCAAGAAAAAAGCAGGAGTTGCAATCCTAGTCTTTGATAAAACAAACTTTAAAGCAACAAAGATTAAAAGAGACAAAGAAGGGCACTACATAATGGTAAAAAGATCAATGAAACAAGAAGAGCTAACTGTCCTAAATATATACACACCCAATATAGGAGCACCCACATACATAAAGCAAGTTCTTAAGGACCTACAAAGAGACTTACATTCCCACGCAATAATAGTGGGAGACTTTAACACTCCACTGTCAGTATTAGACAGATCATTGAGACAGAAAATTAACGTGGATATTCAGGACTTGAAAACAGATCTGAATCAAGCAAAGTTAATAGACATCTATAGAACTCTTCACCCCAAATCCACAGAATATACCTTCTTCTCAGCACTATATCAAACCTACTCTAAAATTGACAACATAATTAGAAATAAATCACTCCTCAGCAAATGCAAAAGAACAGAAATCATAACAGTCTATCAGACCACAGTGCAATCAAATTAGAATTCAGGATTAAGAAACGAACTCAGAATTGCACAACTTCATGGAAACTGAACAACTGGCTCTTGAATGTTGACTGGATAAACAATGAAATGAAGGAAGAAATAAAGATGTTCTTTGAAACCAATGAGAACGAAGTCACAACGTACCAGGATCTCTGGGACATATTTAAAGCAGTGTCTAGAGGGAAATACATACCAATAAATGCCCATATGAGAAGCAAGGAAAGATCTAAAATCAACACCTATCAACAAAATCGAAAGAGCTAGACGAGCAAGATAAAAAAAACTGAAAAACTAACAGAAGAAAAGAAATAACTAAGATCAGAGCAGAATTGAAGGAGAAAGAGACACAAAAACCCCTTCAAAAATCAATTAATTCAGGAGCTGGTTTTTTGAAAAGATCAACAAAATATTCAGGCTGCTAGCCAGATTAATAAAAAAGAAAGGAGAGACGAATCAAATAGAGGCAATAAAAAATGGTAAAGGGTGTATCACCACAGATTCCACAGAAACACAAACTACCATCAGAGATTACTACAAACAACCCTATGCACATAAAACAGTAAACCTGGAAGAAATGGATAAATTCCTGGATACTTGCACCCTCCCAAGCCAAAACCAGTAAGAGGTTGAAACCCTGAATAGACCAATAACAAGGGTTGAAGTTGAGGTAGGAATTAATAGCCTATCAACCAAAAAAAGCCCAGGTCCAGATGGGTTCAGAGCCGAATTCTACCAGACATACAAAGAGGAGCTGGTACAAATCCTTCTGAAACTATTCCAAACAAAACAAAAAGAGGGAATCCTTCCCAAATCATTTTATGAGACCAACATCACCCTGATACCAAATCCCAGAAGAGACTCAACAAAAAAAGGAAACTTCAAGCCAATATCCAAGATAAACATAGATGCAAAAATCTTCAATAAAACACTGGCAAACTGATTGTAACAGCACATCAAAAAGCTTATCCATCACAATGAAGTAGGCTTCATCCTGGGGATGCAAGCCTGGTTCAACATATGCAAGTCTATAAACGTAATCCATCACATAAACAGAACAAAAGACAAAAACCACATGATCATCTCAATAGATGCAGAGAAAGTCTTTGACAAAATTCAATAGCGCTTTATGTTAAAAACTCTCAATAAACTAGGTAGAGATTGAATGTATCTGAAAAATAATAAAAGCTATTTATGAAAAACCCACAGCCAATATCATACTGAATGGGCAAAAACTGGAAGCATTCCCTTTGAAATCTGGCACTAGACAAGGATGCCGTTTTTCACCACTCCTGTTCAATACAGTATTGGAAGTTCTAGCCAGAACAATCAGGCAAGAAAATGAAATAAAGGGTATTCAATTAGAAGAGGAGGAAGTCAAATTGTTTCTATTTGCAGACAACACGAGTGTATATTTAGAAGACCCCACTGTCTCAGCCCAAAATCTCCTGAAACTGATAAGCAAGTTCAGCCGAGACTCAGGATACAAAATCAATGTGCAGAAATCACAAGCATTCCTATACACCAATAACAGACTAAAAGAAAACCAAAACAAGAGTGAACTCCCATTCGCAATTGCTACAAAAAGAATAAAATACCTAGGAATACAATTAACGAAGGATGTAAAGGACCTCGTCAAGGAGAACTACGAACCACTCCTCAAGGAAATAAGAGAGGACACAAACAGATGGAAAAACACTCCATGTTCATGGTTAGGAAGAATCACTATTGTGAAAATGGCCTTATCGCCCAAAGCAATTTACAAATTCAATGCTATCCCCATCAAGGTACCTATGACCCTCTTCACAGAAGTGCAGAAAAACACCTTAAACTTCTTATGGAACCAAAAGAGAGCCCACATAGCCAAGACAATCCTAAGCAAAAAGAACAAAGCTGAAGACATCCATGCTACCTAACTTCAAACTATACTACAAGTCTACAGTAATCAAAACAGCATGGTATTGGTAACAAATCAGAGATATAGACCAATGAAACAGAACAGAGGCCTTGGAGGCAACACCACCCATATACAAACATCTGATCTTTGACAAACCTGACAAAAACAAGCAATGGGGAAAGGATTCCCCGTTTAATAAATGATGTTGGAATAACTGGCCAGCCATGTGCAGAAAACAGAAACTAGGCCTCTTCCTTATACCTTACACTAAAATTAACTCTACAGGGATTAAAGATTTAAACATAAGAGCTAACACCATAAAAACCCTAAAAGAAACCTAGACAAAACTATTCAGAACATAGGCATAGGCAAGGACTTCATGACTAAAACACAAAAAGCATTGGCAACAAAAACCAAAATAGACAAATGGGATCTAATTAATCTCCAGAGCTTCTGTACAGCAAAAGAAACAATCATTAGAGTGAACTGGCAACCAACAGAATAGGAAAAAATTTTTGCAATCTAGCCATCTGACAAAGGGCTAATATCCAGAAACTACAAAGAACTAAAACAGATTTACAAGAAAAAAATCAAATAAACCCATTCAAAAGTTGGAGAAAGACATGAACAGACACTTTTCAAAAGAAGACATACATGGGGCCAACAAACATATGAAAAAATGCTCATCATCACTGGTCATTAGAGAAATGCAAATCAAAACAACATTGAGATAACATCACAAGCCAGTTAGAATGGTGATCGTTAAAAAATCTGGACAACAGATGCTGGAGAGGATGTGGAGAAATACTATCAGTTTTACACTGTTGGCAGGAGTGTAAATTAGTTCAACCATTGTGGAAGACAGTGTGGCAATTTCTTAAGGACGTAGAAATAGAAATTCCATTTGACCCAGCAATCCCATTACTGGGTATATATCCAAAGGATTATAAATCGTTCTATTGTAAAGACACATGCACACATATGTTTATTGCAGCACTGTTTACAATAGCAAAGAACTGGAACCAAACCAAATGTCCATCAATGATAGACTGGACAAGAAAAATATGGCACATATACACCATGCAACACTATGCAGCCATAAAAAAGGATGAGTTCATGTCATTTGTAGGGACATGGATGAACC